CAGGGACAAAAAGAAAACACTACTCCACCTGATCGCTCCCCTGCTACCACCAAAATTATCCTCCATTGTATCAATCTATGAATGGGCTGTTTGTGCTGCTTTCAGCAATTTTAAGCAATTTTACCTCCACATTCTTTGAAATGGGGAATCAAACATACCAGTTAAAAGGTCAGCAGACCAATATACACTAAATCAAGAGTGCAAGTGTCCAAAACGCTCCACAGGCAAAGCCCAAGAGTTCAGAATCTTACATTGACAAGATGACATCAAGATTGAAACCCACTGCCCTGATCAAAGGCATTCACAATCAGCATTTGTCCTTCAGCCCTTCTCTCCTGAATCAACAAGAGAAGACAGGCTCTGAAGAGCAAGGAAATTATTTCCGGGCAAGAAATCATCTGAAAGAATCCAATAGCCTATGACCAATTATAACCAGCTACTGGTACAACCAGAGACACACCCTAAATCCTTGTGAGCATTCCCTTCCATGCTTATATTCCAGGCCACGCTAATCACAACAGTGCCATGCTGGAGCCACCAGAAAGCAAAGGTTGCCATCCAACAAGCCAGTGAGCAGGGTACGACCAGGAACATTGGGAATAGTAAGCCGTTTGTCATCGACAGCTGGAGAAACACCTTCCCAGCAATTTAGGAATTCTGTGTCCAGTCTGTTTTCACGCAGCAACCAATGCCTGTCAGTCTTGTCTGAAAAAACTAATCATGGTGCAAAGTTTGTCCTACCATCACCCCACTTCTGAATTCATTCTTTCAAACTGGGAAGGAAGACGACGACTTTTGGTCAATAACTCTGACAAAGCCATTATCCTAGGGGTATTAAATGGGGAGATAAGAACTTCAGGGCTTTGCACAAATCATATTAGTTCAATTCTCAAATCCGGGTAATGCTTCTTTTCAAAGTATTAATTTCATTTATTCTATTTGCTCTCCCTCTGTCCTGATAACACAGGCACACATGGCCCTTAAATGAGATCCTCCTATTTTATAAGTTATAATCCTCCCTTTCTAGAGTAGTAATGAGATGTCTTCGCTTAATCGCGTTTATTCCCCCCTCCAGCTTCTCCTTTTCTCCATCCCCATTCCACATTGATTTGTCTCAAAGGTTTCAGCAAAAACCATCAAGCAGGGAGTCACTGGCTCCAAGAGGCTCATGATGCATATGCTGCACAGCCTTAGGAGATTACAAAAGCAGAAAGGAGAAAAGAGCAGCTTCGTTTGCAAAGTTTCTTTTGTTGTTAAGAAGGAAGAAAAAAAACCAAAAGAACTGAGAAATTGAGAGTAGAGGTTTTGATTAATTGGAAATGAAAAAGGAAAGACTCCTGATACAGGGAAAAAGTGAGACTATTCGCAACCCAGTGAAGCTGTTAAATAACTTGACTATGACAACTTTGGAAGTTCCTCATGCTAGAAATAAAAAAAGGTTTAAAGACAGCTGTATTAATTCTTGGATATTTCACATGAGACTTAAGGCACGCTACAAGCTTTAGTTAAACACCCTTAGGCCCTGCTGTGAAGTACTGTACATATAATCCTTGTTGTATTTTAAGTACTCACAGCATTAAATTATTCAGAGAGTCCAGTCAGCACCACCATCCTGCGGCGCTGTACAAACAAAACATTTTATCTCTAACACAAACTGGTGAGTTCTTCTGCAGCAGCTTAGCAGACTGCTTCTATTTGAGCCGGTCCCACACGGTTAATCAAAAGCCCTATCCGCTCAAAGAGGAAGTGAATGCTGCAGTGTTTCTACTTACAGAGCTATTTCGGTTCTTAAACTAAAATTTTAGGAGTTTTACTCAAACCCTAAGGTATCTATCTAGAAGCTAAGCACCTTGTTCAAAGTCAGGTACTTAACTCTAAATCCCCCTCTTGTAACCAGTGCACCACTTCAGAAGAAAAAAAAAACAACCCACACAAACCAAAACACAACCACAAAACACCAAAACACCCAAAAAACCCCAACAAGTTTCAGGCTGCACCCTACCCCATAAATGATGAAGTAACTGACCCCAGAAGCTGAAAGTTCCTTATCAAAGGTTAGCTATAGGTCATGCTCTCTTCAGGAATATGCACTGTATAATAAGACGTAAGAAGAGCTTCACAGCAATACTGCCAACAATAAAAGTCAGTGAATGAAAATCATAAAGAACAGATTAAATGTCAAGCGACATTCAGCACAATCAAAATGAAATCATTTCAAAACACAGCTATCATATTTGGATTTATGGTCTACAAGTGGTAAGGTTAAAGTAGAATATTGCAGCACTACTGGAAACAACCATACAAAAGAAGGCTACTAATCACCAAACTATTGATATGCTAAGGGCACAAAGCAGCTCAAAATCTTACTGCAAATATCAAATAAAACCTTTCTAATTACGCATGGCATGATTTTCACTTTCTTTTACTAAATTAAGTCCTGCTAGAAGAAAATTCTTCATTTATTATTTCATTCATGGAGTTGCCCATTTTTCTCTGGCTTTCCTAGTAGGTGACAACAACAAAAACCCTGGAAGTCGTTCCCTTGTAAATTTAAGCAGATAATTTCCAGTGCCATCTGCACCTGGACTACCACTAGGTCCCTACAGTTCCACTACTATCTTCTACCTCAAAGAGAAGACTGACAAAGAAGAGATGAAAGAGCAGCTCACATCCATTATTTGTCTCATATGCTACGGCTAAAAAGCAGAAGAATGAGCAAGAAACATTCAAGCCCTATTCCAAATAAAGGAAGAAAGTAATACTGGAAGACAAAAGACAGATATGATTTGAGTAAGATTGAGTCAATACAGTAAGGTACCCATGCCCAAAACAAAACTGTAGCTGAGATAAACCACGTCTGACAGGGATCCCAATAATTTAAAAGGCTGGCAAAACCAGTTCCTGCTTAGGAAGACATCTAGAAACCGACAGACAATAGCTTTGACCTCATCTTTGCAAGGACAAGCTAGACTATTCCATTTTTAAGGATCTTGAATTTATGGCTGATCAAGAGATAGTTAAAGAGCAATGAAATTTAACAGTTTCTCATTCTTGCACCACGTTCTGGGCTAACACTCCATGTTCAGTATTTATCTTTTATGGGTTACACGAGGAGAGCCTGATCAGATTTCTGCAGAGCATCAAGTATGCAATATCTGGGTATGCGACACTGCAGGATTAAAAGCTAATTCAGATAACAGAACAGCTTCTGCATGTTAGAGGTCAGGTCCCAACTCATTTTAGAGGTGCCCTCTTACACTTCACAAATATTGCCTGACTCTGGTAGTCACATTTCTCCAAGATTACTCTGCACCTCGCTGCAGGAGGGCAGGGCTCTACTTCTGAGACAGACCACATCTTTAGATTAGACAATAAATCCACTAGCTTCTTTCTCCTCCTCTTTACAGAAGTCCATTAATTGCATTCATAAAGAGAATATACTCTTTCTAGTGGAAAGAGAGTTAATACTGCATCTGATGACCCAGATATCCTACACAGAGGAATGGCGGTCACCTGCCTCAGACATCACTATTGTAAAGCTCAGCAATCATGCAACTTCCAGTGGGCAGGTTATAATCTGCCAAGAGGAAATTTCCTACAACACAGCAGCCGTTCACAAGCTATATCCAGGAGACAAATCTCAGAGACCTACCAATCCAGCCACATACAAACATTATCACGGAGTCAAAAAGCACAAACGGGTCCAAAAACACAAACAGACAAATTCATGGAACACAATTTCATTAAGGACTGTTAACCACCAAGGTGAAAATGTAACTTCTTGAAGAAGCCTCTAAGCCCCAGAACGGCAGAAGCTGTGAGGGTGTACAGGTGGGAAATACTGCTGTACACCTGCTCTGTTCTCATGCTCTCTGTAGGCAGCTCCTATGGATCACTATCAGAGATGGGTTATAGCTAGAAGGACCTTCTGTCCGACCCACTATGACCATTCTCATATAAATTTTATTTATTCAGTCCCCCAAAATGCCTTAATTTTATAACCTCAAAAAGCTTCACAGCCAAGTCACATGTCTGGGTAAGCCATGCCTGTTAGCATTCAACATATAAAAAAACCCAAACACGCTCATAGAAGGATTCTTCATTTAAATCAAGTGCATACAACAGATCAGTAGGATGGAAGAAACGCAATAAAGACCATCATTACTCAAGTCTGTCCCCTCCCTAAACCATCCTTTCAGTACATACCAGGTAACGAGAATTACACTGAGCCTGGTTCTCTCAATAAAGTCATCTCACTGTACTTCTGCCTCCAACACTGCTCTTCTCAGCACTAGTATGACAATAACACAACAGGTTGTCTCAGCAACACCAAGGTGCCTGACTAATACTAAAGGCTTTTGTCAAGAAGTCTCCAAAAATAAGTCCACCTACTGGGCAAGAACAGATTGGTTTGGGAGTCAGTGGTGTGTACAAAAGGGTCCCTGAAAAATCAATCTTAAGCCTTCTTCAAAATGTTACAATACTTGACAGTTTTATAACAGTTCTTCTGTTATCAGTATCATAAAAGACTCAACAGAATCTATTATTACCTTTTATTAATTTAGGTATTTGCACAATTACATTCTAGAAAAATGAAGCAAAGTTTCAGGATAGATCAGGCAGCAGAATCTGATGCTGTACACATGGAAACATTCATTTCATACCCTTGGTAATTTAAGAGAGCTCTCTCTAGCTCAGACAATGACTCCATACACACGCACCACACTGACCTGCCACAGGTAAAGCTGTCCCCAGCACAGCCATTGCTTATGCCTTTCCCTGCAAGCTCGGCGTTCGCATCACCACATCTGACATGCTGCAAGCGCAGCCTGCCAGCCACACTGTAAGCCACACGGTAAGTGATGAATTAGGAAGTGACGAGTGTTTCAGCCTCATGGAAGTTTCTAAGCTCATCACACAAGTGACATCCAAGGAAGCCCCTCAAGCAGAGATAACAGCCTGTCCTGCATGGAAACACATTGGGGTTCTTTGTTACTCACCAGCTGGGCCGCTCTCTGCCTCTCTTCATTAGTGTTGTTCCTCTCCCGCTGAAGAGCCAAATTCAAGGCCTCACTGGCAGCTTCCCTTTCTCTCTTGGCCAGTCGGAGCAGCTCCTCTTGGACCAGTGCCTGTTCTCGCTCATACCTGTAGGAGTGTCAAAGGCAAACAGAGAGAAGGTGATCAGCAGACTTCTGGTAACAGGGTCATGGCTTAGCAGGGACTATCCCTGCCTAGAGCCAAAACTTAAACCCATAATCTATTTGACACA